CGGGTGACAGCGCGCCAATTCGCCAAAATCCGTTTCGGTTGAGTCCCGCCGAAAAGGACCATGTCAAATCGGCTGTTGATGACATGTTGGCCGCCGACATCATTTCTCCTTCCACCAGCCCTTGGGGAGCGCCGATCGTCCTGGTTAAAAAGCAGGACGGTTCGTTGCGGTTTTGCATTGATTTCCGGCGTCTTAACAAAATTTCGGTTGCCGACGCATACCCGCTCCCTCGGATGGATGAATCGCTGGACGCCTTGGCGGGAGCGCGATTCTTTTCCACACTGGATTTACTTTCGGGATTCTGGCAGCTTCCCCTGGACGATGATTCAAAGCCTAAAACTGCTTTCCGTACACCGCACGGCCTGTTCCAATTCAACCGGTTGCCGATGGGCTTACACTCAGCGCCGGCAACTTTCCAGCGTTTGATGGAATTGGTTTTTTGCTGGATTGCAATGGGAGTCGTGCCTCATTTATTTGGATGACGTTATCGTCTTTAGTAAAACTTTTGACGAACATCTCCAGAGGTTGCGGGCGGTTTTCCTAAAGATGCGGGCTGCTAATTTGAAATTCAAGCCCCAAAAATGCCATTTGTTGCGCGATTCGGTGCGTTATTTGGGGCACATCGTGGGACGCTCAGGTATTGCTACCGATCCCGCCAAAACGCAGTGTGTCAGCTCCTGGCCGACTCCCACCTTGGTGGGAGAGGTCAGGAGTTTCATTGGGTTCGCGTCGTATTACCGACGGTTCGTCGCTGATTTTGCGACAATTGCAAAACCCCTGCACGCTTTAACATCTAAAGGGGTTCGGTTCCACTGGGGTCAAGAGGAGGAGGCTGCTTTCTGCTCCCTTCGGGACGCCCTGGTAAAAGCCCCTCCCTTGATTTACCCAGATTTTTCTAAGCCCTTTTTGCTCGACACCGATGCGAGCAACACGGGTATTGGGGGTGTGCTTTCCCAGGTGGTTGATGGCGTGGAACGGGTGGTCGCGTACGGTAGTCGGGTGTTGTCTCCTGCGGAGCAAAGATATTGTGTCACCCGTAGGGAACTGTTGGCAATTGTCTATTTCATCCAACAGTATCGCCCATATCTGTACGGTCGGCATTTCACCGTCCGCACAGATCATGCGGCACTACAGTATGCCCTGCGAGTTCAACAACCATCGGGACAGTTGTCTCGATGGTTGGAGGTTCTCCAGGACTTTGATTTTGAAACCACCTACCGTAAGGGCGTTCGCCATACGAATGCGGACGCTCTGTCGCGCATGCCAACCACCTCCGAATGTGCATGCCTCCTGGGGTCGGGACGTTGCAGGACTTCAGGGGACGCATCGGTTCCGATCTTGGCAGCCACCGACGACGACGAACCATTGGTTACTAATTCGATCGAACAACAGGGAAGAGATTCCCTGTTGGGGTTGCCCGTCACTGAATGGGGGCGCCTCCAAATGGAGGATACCTCCCTCCTCAGGTGGCGTCGTCGCGTCGGGGGTGCTGGGCGGGTGAAGGGGGATTCGGATGCATGGGAAATGGTGCAAGGTCTGCTGATGCATTGGGACGGCAAATCCCAGCGACATCGGCTGGTGGTCCCTTCTGAGTTGCGAGGCAAGGTGGTGTGGGCCGCGCATGAGCGCCTATTACACCTGGGGACCCAAAAGACTCTTGCACTGCTACAACTAGATTTTTTTTGGCCTGGTATGACGAGGGATGTTGGAGATCTATTGGGATCATGCCCTCGGTGTGCGCAACGGAAACCGCCGGCGCAGGAGTCTAACCCGCCCTTGCAATCGATCAAAGTATCCAGAATAAATGAGCTTGTCGCGCTGGACATTTTGGGCCCATTTCCCGCCACCCCCAGGGGCAATAGGTATTTGTTGACAGGTGTCGAGTATTTTACGCGCTGGCCTATGGCCTGGCCCCTTGCCAACCAGTCGGCAGCAGCCATCGTGGAGGCCTTTGTTCAGGGATACGTCCTGGACAAAGGTGCTCCGGAGCGGCTGCTGACCGACCAGGGCAGAAATTTTTCCGGTAAATTACTCAAACAAGTCTGTGACCTCTTAGGCACGAAGAAAATTCGTACCTCCCCGTATCACCCGCAAACTGACGGAATGGTCGAGCGCCTGCATCGCACCATTACGTCAATGATGTCACAGCAGGTCTCGGACTCGCAGACTGACTGGGACCTGCATATTCAAGGGGTCTTGGCGGCATACCGGATGGCACCCCATGCAGCTACGGGATTTTCCCCCTTTTACCTCATGTACGGTCGCGAACCCGACCCGCCTGTTCGCGCCCAGCTGCAGATCCCCGACCCGCAAGGGAAAACTAAATTGGCTGACCACGTCAAATTTAATCTGGCCAAATTAACAGAGGCGCGGGATGCTGCTATGCTAAACTCGGACCTCCGTCAAAAGGCGAATGAGCGCCTCAGGCTGGGTCGGGCGCACGTAATACAGTGGAAGCCGGGGGACAAGGCATGGTTGCACTGTCCCCAAGTGCCCCTGGCTACCTCCCCTAAGCTGGCGCGGCCGTGGCGGGGCCCTGTGGAGGTGGTCGAAGTTTTGCGACCACAGTGCGTGCGCATTAAATGGGGGAAGCGGCGATGGTTCGTGCACCCCTCTAGGTTAAAACCCTTCGTTGCGGTACACAAACCCACTTCACACATGCATGGCCAAACGTGTGGGGGGTCGACCGACTCACTGGGTCCGTCTCCGTCGTTCTCACCTAATGCCTTGCCGGCCGTGCCACCTCCAGGTGCATCAGGACTGACGGGCTCACGCCCGACCACCCCTCCTGGGGATACCGACGGTCGCGCGGCATCGGATGAGGTCTCACTCCGGGACGGACAATTGCCACCTGACGGTCCGCCACCCGGGGTTACCCCGTGTGAGGGGCCCGCTGCAAGGACGCGCGCAAAAATGCGCAGACTGTTATGAGGCCGGAAGATGTGTACATAGGTTGTGTTCATCGTGTGTTGTGTGGGTGGTGTGTTCCCTGCCCATTGAAATGTACATACGTTGTGTTCATTGTGTGTTGTGTGGGTGGTGTGTTCCCTGCCCATTGAAATGTACATACGTTGGGTTCACCTGGTGTTGTGTGTATGGTGGGTTCCCTGCAAATTGTATATAGGTTGTTTTTTTACGGAATTCGTATTTATTCAAGGGGGGGTGCGTCGGGTTGTTTTCTCTTCTTGCTGTTGCATTTTGTTGTGTTCTTGTTGCTGTTCTTGTTATTGTTGAAAAATAGTGAGGCACACGCGCGGTCAAGGTGTAAATGCACTTTTATTGTCATTTTTGTATGTTGGCAGCCGGGACGGCTGCAAGCTATGCGGGGGGGGGGGGGGTGATGTAGGGGTGTTAAAGAGAGGGCCCGTTATGCATGGCAGCCTATGGAAAACAAACACAGTGGGCGGGGCTACGTAAGTGCACGAGCAAGTGCCCTCTACGACGTCCGAGCCAGACACCCTGGGGGGGGCTGGTTCGAACGTTATGATCCCCCGGGGCCCCACCCCTCAGGGAGGGGTTGGGTATAAAAGGGGATGTTTCAAAGGGCTCGGCAGTTATGTTTAAGCTAAGGGAAGAAGATTGAAGACGTCTTAGATAGAGCCCTGGACTCCCCTGGTTCGATGTCCTTTTCAGGGCCGGACAGGATTGAGCCAGCGGCGTGGTCCCGAAAGCCAGAGCCGGTGCTCTTGTAAGAGCTGGTCTGGAACTCCGGGTACCGGGCCCGACTTACCAGTGTCGGGCCAGTTAGCCTCCCCTAGCCCATTAGTGGAGGATTCGGGGCTAGGACAGAGTTAGCTAGGGGTGTATCCCGAGTTATACGGGTGAGGGGGCCGATACCCCCTCGAGTGTGTATATGCCCACTGTCATATTGTGAATAAACATACGTGTGCCTCAACCTCGGCGTCAAGCGTCCTCACCGGTACTTCATTTAGATGGAAGCATATTATATTTTTTACGACGTAGAATTGTAATGTATTACTTACTGTTAGTAACTCAGCTTATTGTAGAGTATATTTACTATACTGATGATACTATGTAGTCTATACTTTAGTTGTTTACGTGGTGGTTTTAGTTACTGCAGCTACATACTATTAACACTCCTTCCCTTTATTAATGCTACCCCAATCCTCTCCCTTTGATGCTGCTAATCCTGCATAATGCACGGACATAAGTAGTACTATTCACATACCTGCATTTCCCATATCCCCTCCCTTTGATGCTGCTAATCCTGCATAATGCACGGGCATAAGTAGTACTAATCACATACCTGCATTTCCCATATCCATTCCCTTTGATGCTGCTAATCCTGCATAATGCACGGGCATAAGTAGTACTAATCACATACCTGCATTTCCCATAAATATGCTAAATTCCTCTTGATATGCGTATTCTTTTGTCAAGGCTCCCTTTTCCCCCCTTCCAACCTAGCTTATATATATATGCTCCAAGCACTGTGCTGTTTCATTCAGACACTGTCGCCTCGCCAGACCTGGTTTTCACCTGATGACGGCTGCTTGCGTTGTAGCCGAAACGTCGTGAGAATTGTTTTATTATGTTTTATTTTTATTATTTTATTACTTCCCTTCTACGTGACTTTACCGAAAGAACCAAGAAGACTTGGAGAATATCTGCAAAGAGGAGTGGGACAAAATCCCTCCTGAGATGTGTGCAAACCTGGTGGCCAACTACAAGAAACGTCTGACCTCTGTGATTGCCAACAAGGATTTTGCCACCAAGTACTGTCATGTTTTGCAGAGGGGTCAAATACTTATTTCCCTCATTAAAATGCAAATCAAGTTATAACATTTTTTACATGCGTTTTTCTGGATTTTGTTGTTGTTATTCTGTCTTTCACTGTTCAAATAAACCTACCATTAAAAGTATAGACTGATCATTTCTTTGTCAGTGGGCAAACGTACAAAATCAGCAGGTGATAAAATACTTTTTTCCCTCACTGTAAGGGTTTAGGTTAAAGGTTCAGTGGGTTAGAGGTTTGGGGGTTTATGGGTTAGGATTTTAGAGGGTGATGGGTTTAGACCGTTATGGTTTTAAGGGTAAAGGGGTTTTGAGGGTTGGGTTTTAGAGGGTTACAGTTTAGAAGGATATGGGTTTAAAGGGTTCTCGGTTCAGATAATTAGGTGTTTAGAGGATTTATGGGGTTTGATTGTTAAAGGATTAGTGGTTTAGAGGGTTAGGAGTTTATAAGGTTATGGGCTTAGGGGTTTAGAGGTTTGGGGTTTTTAGGGGATAAGTGGTTTAGAGGTTTTGGGTGTTTCAAGGGTTATGATGTTTCGGGGTTGAGGGTGTTAGAGGTTGAGGGGTTTAGAGGGTTAGGGATTTCGGTGTATTTGGGTTGTGGCTTACCGTCGCTCAGCAGCTCCAAAACACTGTACACTGCCAGGAGTAGCAGTGGTGGTGGCATTTCTGGTGGTGCTGGTGGCCGCGGTCCGGAGCCAGCTGTGACCCAGCGCCTGTGCTGGCGTCATGCGACAATCCGGATCCCATCTGTTGAGAGACACACGGGGGTCACACGCGGCGCACATGGTGAGAGAGGCGTGGTGAGAGCATTGACGTTCCTTCTCTTCTCCCACGAGGTCCAGGAACGCACGGCAGCAGCGGTAGTCGTGGTAGCAGCGGAAATCCTTCAATACGCAGTACTCTAAAAATGCCCTGAGCCTCGCACTGCCGAGTAGAATCTTTAATGAACCTCCAAAGAGGGCGATCTTAACACCAGTGGTACTGGTCATCGGCAGGTTCACTCAGCTCCACATCTTCCTGGTGATCGGAGGAGAGCGATCGTTGATCACCTTGGTGGAGGAAATCCTTATGGGGAGGGGGTGGGGGATGATTCTTACCGCAGGCAGGAGCTGACGAATTCAACAAACTCCGGGTCGTGGCTATTGAGTGCCCCGTGAAGTGACAAGCTCCCTGGCACCCTTCTCTTGACTGGGCAGAACATCATGCCCACACGATCTGCAGGAGACATGCACAGCAGGAGAGACACACAGTCACCAACCACCACTTTGCCTACTTACCCACTTACCCACCAACCCACTCTCCCACACACCCATTTACCCACCCACACCCAAGGAATTGAAAGTACAAAGAGGCCCCCCCCCGTGGCCACCCCAACAGCTCCAGGCCACACCCTAACACTGAATCCGGTCGGTTGCTCGCCCCACCCTTCAACTCACTAAAGTAGTGCATTCCATCAGGAGCTGCATCCATCATACATCTTGGAGGCAACCCGAGGATCTGCACATGGTGGAGATAAAGGCAAAGGTCACCCGTGTAGGTGCAGCAAACTGTAGGGGCAAGTGCTTTTAGTAGTGAGTAGAAACAGCAGCAACAGCAGCGGCACCTGTTGAGGGCCAGGACTGTGGCACACACAGAGAGGGGATGGTTGGCCATATTGAAGCAGGTACACACCACACCAGGTATTCATTTGAGGCTGAGTCGAACTCGGGGATGCCCAGTACCGGTTCAGATAATCCTCACTGATGTTGGCCGTGATTTGGAATCAAACTCGCATTACCGGGTTTGTAGCTGAGCACGCTAACCCCTGCACCACTGCTTCCCCACACGTACAAGACACACACGTGTACACACATACAACATACGATGGCTGCCATTCGCCAGGTCACCAAGTACCCAATCGACCCCCCCCCCCTCTCCTACCGCCCCCCCCCCCAGAGCCTACAACTTCAAGGAAGGAGGGGGGAATCACGAGTGGGTGAACGCCCAGTTGGAAATACCTCCATGCAGCACGGGAGGTGGTCGTCGCAGCTGTCTGACTGAAACCCTAATACCTCCGGAGATTGGAATGGCCGAGTCCCACCAACATAAAGAGCTGCACAACAACCACAACAACAAATATATATGTATGTGTGTTCTCACTATGTCATGAACAGCATCCTTGTCACACACTGTCACATGTACAGACACTAAGAGACTTGCACACACACTGGTACACAGACACACCCACACGCAGAAACTCACACCCAGGTGAGGTTACTCACGTTGACTTTTCACAAAAAAGCTGGTGCCAAAGTCTGTGACCCTGATGGTGCCGGTCACGGTGTCCTTGATTAGAACATTTTCCTAAAGGAAGAGAGGCAGAAGAAATTCACACTCGAAGGTTACGCCAATAGCATTCAGCCATCAGTGGATCAATCACGTACCACAGTACATACTAAACGGTCGTCAACCTTTAATCAAGTGCAACATTCCCTGTTTTCTGACAGCTGCCACTGGGGGTGCCCCTTTCAAATGCGTCAAGACGAGCGATGTTCGTCGAGGCTCATCACATGTAAAGCTCTCTGAAGCACCATCTAAGTAAAAGGGTGCGGCTCTATAGACAACTTATCCTAGTTGCTCACAGCTGCCCGTTAACGAGTTACGAACCAAAAACCACACTCGAGGGCGCACGGATTTAGTGACGATTTGGGAACTTTTCTATTCACAACATGGAAGCCGACAATGTGCACCTGTCAGTTCAAACGCGTGTTTGGCACGTTTTGAAAATCATTCTTTTCAGCTCCCGTTTGTGTTTCCCAAAGTTTGTGGCAACGCTGTGATCTACATTGCTGGTTTTCTCTGTGGTGAGTCCCCCAATAGCGACACGACTCTACACGACAGTTTAATTCATACCGGATCATCACCAGAGGTAACATGACCCTGTCTCCTTCCAGATAGACGGACAGAGCTAACACATCGACCCTGTGACCAACGTGGGCGGTTTTCTCTATGGTCCGAGTCCCCAATAATGACACAACTCCGGAACAAAGTCGCGCTGAATGCTGTGTCCACTCACTGGCTTGATGTCCGCATGGATGATGCTCCTGGCCTTGGTGTGGCAAAGGAACTTGAGGATGCCCCTGGTGTAAGTTTTCACCATCCCCATGTGCAATTGCCGGAGCCCCGCTTCCTTAATAACATCATGGAGGCTCTCCCTGTGAAAGAGGCAGAAGCAACAACAACAATTACAACAATGACGCAGTGTCAGTGCCATACCCTGCAATACTGCGTGGATTATGATAACGACAACATTAATATTCTATTTGCACATTCACGACTAATATGAGTCATAGCTCCGTGTGGGTTTAGGTCATTGGTTTGCTGATAAACCGAAGCAGCTAGCACATCTGACCACTTGCTTTCATTTGCTGTTTCCGGGTGGTGGAGTTATCTATTAGGAGATACAAACTCCACGCAGAAAGGCGTCCGTGTGAGAATCAAACTCAGGGATTTTCACCGAGGGGCACAAGTGTCACCACTGTGCTGCAGCCAACCTGCTGATCGAGTGGCGGCGCTGATTGAGAAAAGAGGAGTGGCCTCTAGTGCACCTGGGGCACATGACAGCTCCACAGTATCGCAATGCGAGGTTGGCACGGGAATCCCAGAAGTAACATCTAGCCCCGGTGGTGTGATGTTATCACCCCCCCTGGTGTGGAAGAGATCGGGGCTTTGATCATGACCCTGACGCATGTATATTCTGAGTTTGCATGTTCTCCTCCTGGTCACGTGGATTTTTATCCGGGTCCTCTGGTTTTTCCCTCTACATTTAGAAACATGTGGCTACAAATGATAGCTCAAAAAAGTGGCTGATGTGGAAATGTATGGCAGCCAAATTTCCACATCAGCCACTTTTTTGAGCTATCATTTGTAGCCAGGCCGCTTGTGAAAAATAACTAATCGGACAGTGGGCTTTACCTGCTACATAAAATAGTTTTTGTTTAGCTAATGAAGTTAACCACGCCAGGGGGGGGGGGGGGGTGGGGGCGGTGGGAACACATGGTACGTACTTCAACAGCTCCAAGACAATGGTTCAGGAATTTGACGACGTTGTAGTCCTCATCACTGCCCTCGCCCTGAAGTTCCAGAGCCATCTTGATCTCCATTCTCTGAAATTTATCACGCTTGGAGCTGTGCAGAGAAAATCCACAAATGAATCATGACTTAGACTTGCTTAAGGAATGACCAGAAACAAATTATATTCAGAATTAAATAATTATACCTTCCCCAAGTGTAATGTCATTGTAAGTTCCAGTAGCGCGCTCATGGAAGGTTCCAGAAAGGATAGGGAAGAGGATAAAATAAGCAAGGGATAGAGGGGGTTTGGGGTGCTGCCTTAACGTAGTGATTCCCTAATGTGTGAATTGAGCCGACTCCGAGCATGGCCCCAGCCACACTCAGGATTTCCAGGAGCTGAGCCAAGCCACGGCTGAGCCACTCGTGTATCTTTATCAGCAGCTGAGTGGCTCAAGCCTGAGCCAAACCACGGCTGAGCTGGAGCTGAGCCTGAGTTTTAGAGACTGAGCCATAGCTGATTCGTGACTGAATGTGGCTCTCAGAGCAAGGCATTATAACGTGGAACATCATGGGACCTCCTTTGCCAATACCAAAATATGAGAATAGATTTTCCCCTTTTTCCTGGCAACAAAATAGGTGTTAAGATGTAAAAAAAAAACTTTAACCTTTACAAGGAATCATGTCTGAATTAACCACAATACTTGTGGTCAGTATGCAAACAAAAAACATACTCTGATAATATATGCATTGTCTTTTAAACTGATTGGTCCACACCAGACAGCTTTCTGTTGAGTCTAGTCTCAAAACGGTGTTAAACCAGAGGACGCCAAAAGGCGTACAGCACAAAGACGAGCACTATCGGAGGAATGAGAGCTCGGGGTGAGCAGCTACATCATGGGACCTCCTTTGCCAGTATATCTTTGGTACTGGCAAAGGAGGTCCCATGAACGTGCCCGTTATGACATGGGACAACCTCATTAAAGCGTGGAACGTGCCTTTTATTGCGTGGAACGTGCCTTTTATTGCGTGGAACGTGCCTTTTATAGCGTGGAACGTGCCCATTATAACGTGGAAGGCTCCCGTTATAACGCGGACCGCACCCATTATAATCCGGAATGCATCTGTTGTAATGCAGGAAAGCGCACATTATAACGTGGAATGTGCCCGCTATGAAACTGCACGGCTGAGCGGTATGATACAGTAGGCGGAATGATAACGTGACATGACAGCATACCCTCCATTATTGGTCTCTTCATATCACTGTATGCGTGTATTATAGCTTGAAAAACTTTATCGTTACATTATATATGGGGATATTATGTTTGCTTAATGCGCTTTCCCTTAACGCGGCACTTTTCAGGAATGCATCTACCAGGTGAAATGAAGAATTAATGTAATGTAAGAGTGAACTGATCCAGAACAGGGGGAGAACATACAAACTCCACACAGGAGGGCACCCGAGTCAGGAGTCGAACCGGGGACCCTCTGTGAGGCACGAGTTGTCACCACCTCATCACACCGCCGCCCACAGCAAAGGACTGAACAACAACGTCGTCCTTGTGACAACACCGCTCTGAATTCTTACCTCAATGGTGATACCAAGATCTTCACGGCCACCAGGGTGTTCCTCATGTGGTCAAGCACCGGATCACCTGGCCTTGACCTCCTTCCCCAATCTTCTTCAGCACCTCATAGCGGTAGTGGAGGTGCTCATGCTGGACCTGCACCAAATTACAATCATTTAGACTGACTATATTTTGAAAATCACAACATGTAAGAAGTGTGAGCATTATTTTACGAAATAATTGTTTTATTAAGTGTTTGGTTTTCTTAAATCTGTAATTGTGGAATGCTCTGATGTCTGCTGGCTGAGACACCCTTAAAAAAGCTCATTAGCTCAATGGGCTTAACTTGTGAAATAAACTTGATTGTGAAGTGTGTGGGAGAGTGCATGTGTGCTGTCTCTGGTTGGTTGGTACTTCAGGTGCAATGACAAGAAGCCACGAACCTCGCGACCGCCGCACCTGTGACCGCCCCCACGGCGGGGACTTTGTGGCGAGTCTCACCGGAATGTAATGATGTTCGTGATCGTCGTATCCATCGTTCTTTAGTCCCCGGGATCTGTTGCGGAGCGCAAAGTACCATACTTCCTGTATGGCGGCAAGCTCCAGCTTCTCCCGTTGAGTCATTTGAGGGCCAAAGAAAGCCAGGATTGCTGCAGGCAAGAGAATAACAACAACAGCTGTCGGTGATCATTTTTTTGATTCCTTTTCAGGAGGTTCCTGCAGATGATTTACAGAGAATGGGGGTGACGCTGCTGCCATTACGTCTGCTGTGTGATCCCAATTTGAGGAATTTGCAGGGGACTTGGATATTTTGGCCAATACCAGTTATGTCTGTATGTTGAACTTAGTTTGCACCGTGCTTCGGCAACCCTGCTAATCAGAAGTGAGGGGGAAGGACAATAAACTAAAAAGTTCGCAAAAATTATAGATTTAAAAGAGCATCGCTCCAGTGACTTCCTAATGTCGGAAGAGCATTCCAGATGACTGAAGATGAATCCCTGCAGTCACGAAAGCTTTAAATCGAAATAAAAACAAAGATCCCCATAGAGACTTAACAGTCTGTAGGGGAAAGTGCTGTTAGCCAGCAGTACGTATGAAGGCTGGCACTACACACGAGGGGGTTGGATTGCCAGCACCACGCCCGGCCGCCTTTGTCTCCCTAGTGGTGATCTTTACACACTGCACCAGGTACTCATTCGAGGTTGAGTCGACCTAGGGGAGGCCCAGCACCGGTTCAGATAATTGTCACTGTTGTTGGCCTTGAGAATCCACCTCGGGGTCTCGCAGTTAATAGCACGGCGCGCTGTCAGCTACACGACCGTTCCACACACACAGACTCACACAGATAGTCTCACACACACACAGACTCACACAGATAGTCTCACACACAGACTCACACAGAGAGACTCACACACACACAGACTCACACACAGACTCACACAGAGAGACTAACACACAGACTCACACAGAGAGACTAACACCACCACCACCACCACTCACCCACAGCTCGGTTCAACTCCTCACCTGCTCTGGGGTCTGTCGGCGCCTCTCTAACGGCCAAACTGCCAGTGGGAAGCACGTGGCACGAGATGCGGGGGCGGTACAAGTTAACCACGCGCCCCCCCCCCCCGTGATGTCACAGCCATGAGCTCCTCCCCCCATGCCTCCTCTGCCCCCCACCCGAGACCCCCCATGCCCCCCCTCAATACCCCCACCATGACCGTTCCACACAAACAGACTCACACGGAGAGACTCGCATACAGAGACTCACACAGCCACCACTCACCCACAGCTCGGTTCCACTCCTGCAGGAGACCGACTCAGGTTAGTCCCAGGGCTAGCTAGCTGGTTTTCAGTCTTCAACGGCTCTTCTGCTCCAACGACTGCCTCGAGCTCTCACACGCACCGCCTTATATAGCCAACTGCCCCCCGAGGGGCGGGGCTGTATGCGGACGTTAATGTAGACACCCCACGCACAGACCGTGATGTAGACACCGCAACGTAATGGCTTGCTACACCCCGGTACGTAACACCTCTACATCTCGATTTAAAGCTTTCGTAAGTGCAGGGATTCATCTTCTTGGTTCTTTCGGTAAAGTCATGGAGAAGGGAAATAATAAAATAATAAAATAAAGCATAATAAAATTATTCTCACGACGTTTCAGCCACAACGCAAGCAGCCGTCCTCAGGTGAAGACCAGGTCTGTCGGGGAGACAGCGTCTGAATGAAATACCACCACGCTTGGAGCGTATATTTAAGCTGGGTTGGAAGGGGGGAAGGGCGCCTTGACAAAATAATTTGCATATCAAGAGGAACTTAGCATATTTATGGAAAATGCAGGTATGTGATTAGTACTATTTGTGAAATGCGTAGGAGGTGGGCGGGGGGTTTAAAGTCATATTATGCCTGTGCATTATGCAGGATTAGCAGCATTAAAGGGAGGGGATAGGGGTAGTATTAATAAAGGGAAGGAATGTTAATAGTATGTAGCTGCAGTAACTAAACAACCACGTAAACAACTAAAATATAAACTACATAGTATCATCAGTATACTAAATATACTCTCCAATAAGCTGAGCTACTAACAGTAAGTAATAGATTACAATTCTATGTCGTGATGTCACAGCCATGAGCTCCTCCCCCCCGCCTCCCCTTGCGACTACCTTCCATGTCCCCTCCCCCCCTCGTTAACCCCTCGCAACCCCCCGTCTTGCAACCCCCCTGACCTCCCTCGTGAACCCCCATGCCTCCCCCGCCCTCCCCACCATCGTGACCCCCCCTTTGGCCACCCCCTGACCCACCATCGCGCACCCCCCCCTTTCCCCCCCTTCCTGGCAACCCCCTCCCCCTCGCGACCCTCGCCCTCGCGACCCTCCCCCTAGCGACCCTCCCCCTCACCCCCCATGCCTCACCCCCCTCCCCACATGCCCCTCACCCCCCATGCCCCACCCCCCTCCCCCCGCCCCACCCCCCTCCCCCCGCTGCTTCTTCCGCTGGGGCCGAGTGGAGGCGGCGCGCGCTGTGGATTGTGGGTGGCGAGCGGCTGATTGGGATTCCCGCTCATAGCCACCGTCAGTGGCGAGCGAAAGCTTCTGAAGCGGCGGCTCGCTGGGCCTCCTCTACGTCGACTCAGCCTGAAGGTGAGAACCTCGCGCGGTGTGTCCACATCAGCAGTGGCGGCGGCGGTGGGAGGAGACAGAGGAGGCGCCTGGCCCACAGCCGTCACGTTCTGCTGAGATCACGGCGCAGCTTCAAGCAGAGCTCGGCCCTGCTGCTGCTGCTGAGAGGCACTCCCAGACGGCCGCGTGGCTGGTGGGAATTATAGTTGTGGTTACATTATAGTTGTGGTTACAGTTGTTGGTCGTGGTTATTGTTGTGATTATAATTGTGTGGTTGTTACTGTGGTGGTTGTGCAGGTGGTGGCACACGAGTTAACCCATAGCACCAGGGTCTAGCCCTCCTCTTGTACCGAGCCAGGCAGAGCAGTCGGCCCATGGCACCTGAGTCTGGCCCGTGACCTCCTCCTGCACTTAGCCTGGCACAGCCGTCAATCCATGGCACCTGGGTTATTGTGGTGACGTTACCGCCACGTGTAGTGAATGGCGACTGTTGATGTGTGTGCTTGTGTCTGAGTATGATGGTGAATGCGTGAGTATGATGGTGAGTATCATGGTGAGTGTGATGGTGAGTGTATCATGGTTGGTGAGTAATACTGAGTGTGAATTTGACTACTTATCTTCCCTCTCCCTTTCGCTGTCTCTGCTTTCCCCCCTAACTACCTCGCCTGGTATACAGGAGTTTGTAGGTTCGATCCCGACCCTGATGCCTGCTGTATATTTGGAGTTTGCGTGTCTCTGTCTCTCCCCGTGGTCGCGTGGATTTTTCTTCGGGTCCTCCGGTTTTTCTCTCCACATTAAGAAACATTCGTTTAAAGTTTTGACTTAAAACTTTCGTGACTGTAGGAATTAATATCCTTGGTTCTTTCGGTAAAGTTACGTAAATAGAAAAAAAATCTATTTTTTTAAGTAAAAAAAATAAGATAAATTGAAAATAATAAAAACAATTTGTTCGATTTATTTTCATTACTCATTTTTTAATTTTTTGGTTTTCTATTTACGTGACTTTATCGAAAGAACCAAGAATATGAATATTCGTTTAAAGTATTTGGCTGCTATAATTTACACGTGATGATGAGCCACTTCGTTGAGCTATTATTGGTGGCAAGTCGCTTCTGAATAAGTAATATTTAAAAGTACTATTTTTTTAAACACGCTTTAATTAAATGAAATGTACCACGACTCCAGGAAGTGGCCCCGATGCTTACCATAACGTAAGGGGCCGTGGTAATTTACAGCCAACGTCAGTTGAGCGTGGACAATTATAGACCCAAGCCGAAACATAACATGTAACACTCACCCACTCACACTCACCCACTCACCCACCCAATAACCCACTATAGGCTGTAAGGTGAAGACATTTTACGTTTAATCCCGTTCCCATATATGGGGTACTAAATTATTTTCATTCTAATAAAAAGATCTATTGTTTTGGGCGTGAAAATAAAAGTTCTCCATGTCTAATCCTGCAGTTTATTTTTTATTAAATCCTTTATATTAAGTTCGCTTGCTTGCTTGCGTGCTTGCTTGCTTGCTTACGACCGTGCAAACCTTTCGATCGTTTTTTAACCCACTTCCCGTGATCCAATCGAGCTGACATTTTGCACGCAGACTCGTTGTGCGAGACAATTAATGCTCGTGAACATTTTTTTCCAAAATTTTACACTGTTTAGGGAAAACAAATTAAATATTTAATTACCAATTGTTTAATACTGCAGACAATCATCTGACCCATAGGTGGCAGCCATCTCAAGCCAGAGGACGAGAGGACTCTAGCCGCCACGCATATAAAGGATTTAGAGTGAAAAACTTTGTTTTTACGGGTTAATTTTTTACTGTTTAAAGTCGGCAATATTTCTTTCCTCGCCTAATCATATTTTGATCATCAGTGATGAGGCTTCGCGGAACAATCGTCACGTGCTTCCCGCTAGACCAATAAGGTGGCCACTTTTTTGGGACGAGAGGTAAACATTAGTCCAAGATGTCTGCGCCCTTGTTGTCAATATCGAGTAGTGAAGAGGAGGAAATTACGGCCAGACCTCCTTCAAAAGTCCGTAAAAAGTATTTTAAACAATGCTACATGCATCTCACGTCCATAAAGAAAGAAGAAACAAAGGATTTTACACGCACACGGTGGGATACATTCAGAAACTGCGTCAAACGGTGGCTTTTTTGCAAGGTGAGAATCGGAGAATAGCAGAAACATACAAACATTGTCTAGAAATCGAGTTTGACAATGTTCCCGAAGACGCTGGGTTTCACTCCACTTGCTACAGGCGTTTCATTGACAAAAGCTCTTGGATGCGGCCGAGAAACGGGCCACACAGCGTCCTGAAGCTCAAGATCAAGGCCAGTCTGTGCCATCGGGTAGTAACGTTAGTATCGCTGCAGTTGATTGTCCCGCAAAAAAACTTAGGTCCAGGACCGGCCTGCCTGTAGCTTGTGCTGGTCCTGTGCTTTCTGCCTTGTGCATAATTTGTAAGAAAACGGACAAGTACATTACTGTGGGAGGCAAATGCCAGAAGGACCATCTTTCACAGGCAGAAACGTTGTCAGCAGGTAGGTAAAAACAAAGCACACACACAAACACACGTTTGAACTTTTATTCCCTTATGCTGGGTACCATGACTAACTTTCAATTACAATTACATAATTTATGTAATGTTTATTTTACAGTCAGAGACAGATTTGCATTGTTTTGCAAACAGCTACAGCCAGAACACTCAATATTGTTTAACTCTTAACACAGTTTTTTATTAGTTGAATTTTTTTTTTATTTACAGGCAATTTGCTGAAAGCTGCTGAGATGAAGGAAGACACTAGCATTCTTGTGCATATTCGAGACAAAGACTGTTTGTCTCTGGAGGTGCGATACCACAAGTCCTGTTATAGACAGTACACCAGGTTCTTGACAAAGTCTAGTACATCAGTTACTGTGACCTCAGAAGAACAGTGAGTTAGCAATATTTTATATTAATAAATATTAATTAATAATTCCCTCACATTTTCACATTTCAAAAGTAGGAGGTTGGCCCGTGATTTCCCCCCAGCTGGTGTTTCACTCCCCCAAGAAGCGCAACATAAGTGAGATGGTTTTCGTTGAGACATTGTCTGCAGATAAGCTGATAGACAGGCTACCTCATCCATCAGGTACAGAAACAACAGTCAACTGAGGTAACTAGCGAAAGTGACTGTGATAACAGGGCTAGTGCAAAAGCTGGTCCACAAAGACCAAGTTTAATGGCCTCCATCAATACTGCAGAGGACACGAGGACACTTTACAGTGCGGCATTAATATTAAAGATGCATCTGTGTGACTCTCCCGGTATGAAATGCCCGTGGCCACCCACATCAGATTACCTAAATGTGAGCGAGGCAAAATCTGTCGTTCCAGTTGAACTGTACAATATGATTTCCTGGATTATTGGTGCAACTGAGGACCCAACACT